AATGTTGTTTCGATCTGGCAACTCCTTCATATAGAGATAGGTGTTCAAAAAAGACACATCCGCAATTTTTTTACAATGAAATCTCGCATTTCTAATTTTTCCATTGTAAAAAATTGCGGATCCGTCTTTTTTGAACATCGAATCAAAATTTAACATGTGTTCATAACAGAGATGGAAGTTTCCAAAACACTTAACATTATTCTGTGTTAGGCTAGGAACTTTCCGAACTGCCCTCGTAAAGGCTAAAATTATAGGATTTGCAAAATTTAGTTCATATCGGATTCTCCATTCGTATTATATCAATAATTATCAACAACATTTTGGCCGTTTTATTAGCGGGCTACTGGTAGGACTGGTATTTCCCATTTTCGAATTTGATTTAAGTTTCAAAGAAATATTGCGATGTGCAAAGTTAGGATGAAATCTCTTACTCCCTTCGAATCAGACAGACTTTAAGCTGTTGGTCTAAGGAGACATATAAAACCAATATTTGAAGAGTAATATTGTTGCCGTAGCAAAGTGTATCTACCTCATTAAGGCTGTTGGTTGGTAACTAAGTAATTTCAGGATATTTTTTCTAAAATAAAATAAATCACTATCAAAATAAAATTTCCTTAATATTCAGTCACGCAAATCACACCATTATGTGCTAGAGCTGTTTACTATTTTTGGCCAATAAAACAAATAAGCCTAATATTAGCGGTGGTTGGTTACTTTAGTAATAATAACCAAACCGTAAATATTGATTTCACACAAAAAGGTGTTGAAAATTATAGACTGCCATGAACGAAAATGCTTATATTTATTACAAAATTATCAACAATACACCCACCTACATACACATATGATTTTCCTAACTTTTCAAGGTTGGTTTTCTTCGTCCTTATACTTGCGTTTTTTTTTTTCAAAAGTCGGATACCATATTTAGTTTACTTTTCGTACAACCGCTTAATTGGCATATTTGAGCTTTATTACCAACTATTTGTAGTTGGAAGTATTCAAGGTTAAGTACACGTTTAGTTTTTCACAGTTTTTCCCACATTTGTTTAAACACCTGGCCATTGAGTTGAAGACATGTATAGCTAGTCAACAATTGAAGCATTTTGCTTTGCGTTTAAGGAAATAAAATAATTTTTTTGCTTTGTTGGTGTAGTTTTTAACAGCTGCCTTCAATCCAAAAGACAATGCGTGCCTGAGAAATTTAAAGACTGTTAAGAACAGTTTTGATGTTTTAATTATGGGCTATTTGTGATTGAAAAATGAAATTGCCTTTTAGTTTCATATGTGAATGTATAAATATTCAAGGACAATCAATCGCGTTAATTATTCACTTTTTAAACATTTTTTTCTGAAGGTAATTTACAAGGTATTTAATGAATTATTAAAGTCGAATGTGACCCAAATTCCAAAGGGGAAACGAATTTCCGGAGCAGTACATTTATTCAACAGGGCCAAAGGAAAACACTAAGTCATAAGTATTTGATTTTGACCTCAAAATATACAATATGTCAAGAATGAGTTTACACATGATATATTGCATTAAGCATTTATATCGAAATAATTTGGAAAATATATATGCGAATTTTGTAACGCAAATGTCGAGCCCGGTAAAAGCGTCTAAATAAACAATGGAATGCAAAACTAATCACAATCGAGTGAGTGGAAAGTTGGCGATTGTTAGCAACAGAAATAGTAGTCAAATGGACGGCACCACGCTTTCTATTTTCTTGAGAGAAATACATTTGTTAATGGTGGTCTTTGGTACCAACACTCGGTTACCAAAGACCATCATCAATAAACTCGTGGTACGATCAGGAGTGTCGTAATGCCACTGATATAAAAAACGAAGTGTATAGGGTAACCCTACAGACAGTAGCAACACGTAATGCTAGAGAGAATGTCAGGAGAAAAGGAGAGAGAGAGAAGAAACGTATTTCCAAAAAAAGAAAGAACAAGAAAAACGTGAGCGGGAGCAAATCGAGATGTACGGGAGTCAGAAGTCCAGAAATTTTACCAACGAGGAAAACACCAAACTGAAGGCTTTGGTGCAGGCACACTCTCCTTTAGAGATGAAGAAGGAAACCTGGTGACAGATACACACATCGTGTTGAGGATATGGAAGGAGCATTTTACAAAGTTTCTGGTATGAAATAGTGGAGGTGAAGATGATACCCCAGAACCAGAAAGGGAAGGCGATAAAGTGTTAATACACCTAGCCAAGACGAGGTCAGAATAGGAATCAATCAATTGGAGAATAATAAAAAAGCGGGTGCCGATGGGAAACCTGGTGACAGATACACACATCGTGTTGAGGATATGGAAGGAGCATTTTACAAAGTTTCTGATATGAAATAGTGGAGGTGAAGAACCAGAAAGGGAAGGCGGTAAAGAGTTAATACACCTAGCCAAGACGAGGTCAGAATAGCAATCGATCGGCTGGGGAATAATAAAACAGCGGAACTATTCAAGGCTGGTGGTCAGATGCTGGTCAGAAGCATGCACCAGCTGATTAGTACAATTTGGCTTGAGGAATGCATACCCAACGATTGGAACCTCAACATCCTGTCTCCCGCGCCCACAGAAAAAGGAGACAGGACGATATGAGCCAACTAAAGAGGAATAAGTATCCTTACCATCGCATATAAAGTGCTATCCAGCGTACTATGTGAACGACTGAAGCCAATGATCAATGACATTATAGGACCATACCAATGCGGCTTCAGACCTGGCAAATCCACCATGGACCAAATTTACACTCTGCGCCAAATTCTGGAAAATACCCATGAAAAACAAATCGACACATTCCATCTATTCGTCGACTATAAAGCCGCATTCGACAGCCCTATCCGATCAGAGGTGTTTAGAGTCATGTCTGCGTTCAAAATTCCTGCAAAATTAATACGGCTATGCAGGATAACTTTAACTGGGCACAATGTCAGCAGTAAAAGCCGGAAAGGACATGTCGGAGCCCTTTAATACCGAACGAGGATTCAAACAAGGTGACAGTTTGTCGTTTAGTCTTTTTAACATCCTGCTGGAAAAGGACGTACGAGACGTAATGGTGAACAGCAATGGTATTATGTACACCAAACAACACATGTTACTGGCCTACACCGATGACATCGATATAACGGGTCGAACATTGCGAGTGGTAACAGCCACCTTTGAACCAATTTAGAAAGAGCCTGCCAAAGTGGGTCTGGCAGTAAATGGCGAAAAGACCAAGCTGATGGTATTAACGCGCAAGATGTCCAGTAGATTCGAACCAATTGTGAGACTTGAGAACCACAGCTTCGAGGCAGTCAAAGATTTCATATACCTTGGTAAATAATACTAATGACATCAGTTTTGAAATTCGGAGGAGAATAGTGTTGACCAACAGATGCTACTATGGTCCAATTATGCAATTTAGAAACAAGGCCACCACCGACCAGATCAAACTCACACTCTACAAGACGCTGATACTACCCGTGCTGTTATGTGGATCTGAAGTATGTAGTATTTGAGAGAAAAATTCTCCAAAAGATATGCGTTGACGGCGAAAAGTAGCCGTCGAATGAACCATGAGTTGTAGCATCTATTCTCGAACATCGACATAGTCAGACGTATCGAGCTGCAGCCGGACACTCTTGCGAGCTCTGTATTGATGTTACAAAATTCGCATATATATTTTCCAAATTATTTCGATATAAATGCTTAATGCAGTATATCATGTGTAAACTCATTCTTGACATACTGTATATTTTACGTCAAAATCAAATACTTTCTTACTTTTCAAATATCATTTTAAATCATGAGTTGGAGTTTTCGCCGTCGAATGAACCATGAGTTTGTACCATCTATTCTCGGACATCGACATAGTCAGACGTCGATCATGAGTTGGAGTTTTCGCCGTCGAATGAACCATGAGTTTGTACCATCTATTCTCGGACATCGACATAGTCAGACGTATTGAGCTGAAGCGACTACTTTGGCTTGGTCATGTTGTGAGAATGGATGAGGATGCCCCAGCACAAAGGCATATAAAAGCGAGCCTAATGATGGTTCCCGCAGAAGGAAAAGTCCGTGAGTTAGATGGAATGATCAAGGAGAAGAGAACATTTCGAAGGTCATGTTTCATGTTGGAAATCTTTTTTAAGCTCAAATGATCTGTCACAAACTAGTTAAGTAAGAGCATTAGTTTTTGCAAAAAAAAAAAGAGCGAGAGGAAAGTGAGCGCAAATAGTGGTAAAGTAGAAAAATAGTTGTGATATTAATGAAATGTTTACATTTTTTGTAGATTTCTCATGATTATAAGAGGTACATACAGTGTGTGTTCAATAATAATATTATGATATTATAAACTTGGAAAAAGCTAATTGATAGTGTCAAAATTGAATTTTTTATGTATTCAAACTGAAATTGCTATTTCTTTTGTAGTATGTATGTAAAAAAAAAATAAGTTTAATAAATAAACATTTATGTTTATTACAAGGAAAATTAAAAAAAGTTATTATTTATTAAATGTGTAAAGTGATTTTTGACATACTGCATATTTCTCCACAAAAATTTTTTGCATTGAAAAATGGGCATACAATGAGGTTGGGCATACAAACAATTATGCAAAATAAAAATATTTGTAGTTCTGAATACCTCTCGTTTCAGTTCAATGTTTATTTATTGCCCGTCTAATACACAGGCATACCAAATGAATAAATCATTTCCACATTCGGTTAACCTCTCATACCATATTTTTTTATATATCATATTTAGATAATAAAACCATAACGAACCACTTTTTTTAATTAATGAAGTAATAAAATGCATGATGGTCTTGACATTAAATCAACGCAATAGTTCGATGCTGAACATTTAATGCATAATTTCCATTCCAATTAATGTTATGCTCTATTTAATAAAAATAAATACTTACTTTTTTATATTTTCTATTTTTCTTTCAGATCAATTTTGTTTAGGAATATCTACATACTCAAATTGAACCGGAGAAGAAGTAACAGAAAGAAGACAGCAGCATAATGGTTGAATTTCGTTTTGATATACGTCCCCTATTCACGCAACCGATTATCAAGGTTACTTCAAATCTACTGCCACACACATTTCGCGGAGATCGTCGTCAGTGTTTGTGAGTGTTAATTTCATTTTTAATATATCTTTAATATATTTAAAGAAAACAATTCTGAATTGCCTCTTTTTTCAATGGATTAATATTTTTTTAATTTCTTTTATTTCAGAGATGCAACATCAAAAATGTCCGAAATAATTGATCGTCTGGGTCAGTTATCGGCCAATGCCCAAAAACTCAATACCCCCGTGACGACAGCTCAGCGTTTGCGAATGTCTGAGAATCAAACAATCTATTTGATGGCAGATATCAATCAGGGAAATAAGTGAGTATATCTACGAACACATTTCTATGCGATTCTCTCATAATAAAATTAACGGCTATAAATCAACTTAAAAATGGCAATTTAATAAATTGACCGATTAGATATGAATTTTATTTTCTTGTGGTGGTCGTCTGGTCTGATGAACTTACATTCAAATGATTATTAGGCAATTTTTTGTGTTAAGTATTATTAACGCATATCATGATAACGAATTTGAACATTTGTGAGTTTGCTCTTTTTCAAATTTCCATAATAAGTGTTTATTAGATAATGTAGTGTTTTATGGGAATATTTATGAGTAAATGTGAATACTATTTATTGAAAAAAAATCTTAGAAATTGAAGGGATACTTTCACGAAATTGTATATCATGAGAAAAAATAGATAAAAGTTTCAGTATATATTTCAGAAAGGACATATGTTGAAAATCTCAACATAGGCGTGGATTTTTTGAATTTTTTAAAAATATTTTTAGAAGCCTCAAATAGGCGTGATTTTTCAAAATATTATTTAGAGCATAGGTGTGGATTAAGAAAAAATAGAACATAGTCGAGGATTTAAAAAAAAATACAATATAGGCGTGGATTTTTCAAAAAAAAAAAAAAATTAGAATATAGAAGCCTTAACATATGCGTGGATTTTTTTTTATTTTTAACCCTTTCAGTGTTTTTGTCGAATATATTCGACATTTAAAATTACTCTCTTCCTTTGCGATTTGTCGGTTATTGATGTCTTGTTTTTGCTGAAAGACAGTTACAATTGATGTCTTTGTTTTTGCTGAAAGACAGACAAAACTGTCCGAGGGTTAAAATAAGAATTGCTTTTTTTCTAAACTCTGTGCCTTCATATTATTTTAAGTACAACATTTTAGATTTTTATTCCGACAAAAATTTTTTAAGACACTGAAAGGGTTAAAAGCCTCAACATAAGCGTTGAATTTTAAAAGGATTGACTTTGAAGCCTCAACTTAGACGTTGACTTTTAAAAAATATTTTTTAGAAGCCTCAACATAGACTTGGATTTTTAAAATATTTTACAAAGCCTCAATGCACGCGCGGATTTCATAAAAATGTGTTTTTAAAAATGTGTTTTTAAAGCGTTAACATAAGAATGATTTTTTAAAAATATTTTTAAACCCCTAAAAATAGGCTTTATTTTTTAAAAGCCTAAAGATAGGCTTGATTTTTTTTAAATATTTACCCAGAAGCGGTAAAAAAGGCGTGGGTTTTTTAAATATATTTTTTTCGAAGCCTCAGCATAGGCGGATAATACATACATGTATATAATTTCCATATAGAACAAAATTAATGAGTAGGTCTGACCAAAAATAACCGTTTCAAATTTCGTAAATTACGTATGTTCGATTTTCGATTCGATTAATCAAATCTTTATTATTTATGTAGGATTTCATTTACTAAACCTCTATTAATTAAATTGTAGATCCATTTAGTTAAACACGTATTTTTCATGTTACCCGTGTTATTGTTTGATGTACTCTTATAATTATCCCTAATAGTCTCAATAGTTATATTAATTAAATTTGAAATAGGTCAACGACTAATTTTTTGGGGTATTTTATATTTCCTTATACAAGTTCATTTATTCTTCTGGTAAAGATTTATTAATGTTTTATTTGTTAACTTCATTCATTTCTTTTTTTACTTTCAGTGGTGCTGTAATTGGCTTGCTTAAGGTGGGCACCAAAGACCTTTATCTGTTCGACGAAACCGGCCAGACGCGTAAGGTCGAGAACACCCCATGTATTTTAGATTTCTACATACACGAGTCGAGACAGCGGGCTGGTCTCGGCAAGGATCTATTCGAAACCATGTTGGCCGATGAAAAATGGACACCCATTAAATGTTCAGTGGATAGGCCGTCAGAGAAATTATTGGGTTTCCTTAAGAAACATTATGGTTTGGTGCGTACCATACCACAGGCTAATAATTTTGTTCTCTATGAGGGTTTCTTCGATGACGTGAACTCGTCGACAGCCGCTACAAATAAACATACAAATGGTGCCGGCAATGGAATGTACATTACAAATAGGTAAGTCTGCCAAGAAATTATGTCGTGTCACTAATATATATGTTATGCTGTCCTCTACTCCTTCCACAAAAATTCGTTATCCATCCTACATGGCTTGTATGTAATTAATTTCCCCCCTTGGCTTGGCGTCATTTTATGTGGAAGCGTACAGCGGACGGAAGTTCTAATATTTAGTTTTATGATTGTGAAATGAAACGAAATGTAAAATGTGGTTGTTGGTGACTGAGTGACTGACGGCCGGACTGACTTGTGGATGACGTGTCTTAAGGATAATATGTTCGTGCCTTAGTTTTAAAGAAAAGGGCCGCGTGCCAAGCACCTAACATTATTACAAGTCAAAAGAAAGTCGTGTGGCTTGATTTTTTGTTGCTATTTTTTTATAAAATGCATGGGGTTTGTGTGTCGAGTAATATGTTAGATCCTTTGGATTTTTTCTTCACACACACACTTCCATTATTTATGCCTTCATTTATTTGTCGAAGTTCTATTTGGACTATTAAGTTTTGTTTTTTCTTTTTAACACGTAGCGACCGAGTTGTTTGGTCAATATTTATTGTTGGAGAAGTATTCTAATAATAGGAATCAGAAAGTGGCACACATGTGTGGTCGCTTAATATTTCATGGATAATTAGGTTAACAATAATTAGATGTGTATGGGGAAATCTATTTAAAAAGCAGGACGCTATTTATATTCGACAAAATAATGGAATCATAATGATTTTCAATTATTTCTCATTCGAAAAGAATTTACGGAACGAAGTTGCAATGACAAGGGAAAGGCAAAGGAATATCTTACGTGAAACAATATTTTGGTGGGGCTAAAAATTATCTATTTGAACGAAAGTTCTTGGCAAGTATATTTTTTAAGATGACATGTCTTCAGTCATATTGAATTAGAGAGTACTTTTGTAAATTATATCCACCATCTATCTCGAGTCCTTGTGCAAAATTTTCATCCTTATTTCCTTGAACCGTAAACTAAATATGACAAGATGAAATCTTTGACATTAAAATAGTGTACAAATATATCGTACATACGATTTAAGATAGGGTCATCTCAGACAAAAAATCGATATCTGTATGGTTTCGTCGTTCTTTTTCATTTTTACCCGATCCTTGCTCAGAAAATCGTATATCTACGAATACTAATAAAACTCGTGTACTTTGTAGATTATAAATAACTGTCGATTTTTTTTTGAAATATTTACCATAAATTTTAACATTTATGACAGATGCGGATCCCAACATATTTAAAGCGGATTTTCGGATAAAAACCCGATTTTTGTACCGATTTTAATTCATCAATTAAACACCTATATGTCTTTCATTTGGAGCAAACAAAATTTATATGCACTTGGTATAAACCATAAACACAATTGTTAACTGGATCCGATGCTAGAACAGTAAACCCTCTTGTCCTTCCAAATCGTACAAAATGGGACAATTAGACAGATATTTCGTTCTCCCGCCGGTTCTAGTTTATTATTTATCTACTTAATTTTTTTCATGAAATTGGCAATGTTGTTAGCTTTCAAGTTATATGCAAGTTTTATGCAACTTTAATCGGTAATTTAGGAATCAATCTTCCGCAAATAAATGTGATTAAAGCCTTCGCTAAATATTTCATACGATTCTGATTGTTTTTCATAATGTACAAATTATTATAAATTTATTAGTGTTCTTAGATATGCGGCTTCCTGAGCAAGGATCGGATTAAAGTGGAATAGATTGATGAAAACATACGAATATTATTCTCATAAACGATTCTATTCGTCAGAATATTTGAAGTTCAAAATATCTCGTATTGTGGTATTCAGTTTCCGCTCAAGAAAATAAGGACAGAAAGGACGCACAAAGTCTGGCCACAGAAGGGGGATATGTTCTACAAAAAATCTGCCATTCGATTTGTCCTCCGACATATCACAAATACCCTGCAATGGCCGCAAGAGTGTATTGAAAGCTTTTTCTACACGTTAGGGTCTCCACTAAAGACAAGGCAATCACTTCAATTAAACTCAATACTTTGTCCTTCTGCGTTACTAACTGTTGTGCTTTTGCGTGGGTTAAAATACGATTTGATTGTTTTTATGTTGTGAATAAAAGACTTGGTTTATGATTTAACAAACTTAGGCAAAATTTATTCTGGAAATTAAATTTACGTTAGAAAATGTTGAGCGTGCTACGACAGAATTGTAAGAGCTAAGCTTGTACGCGAAAAGGAAAAAATATATGTTATTGTATTTGTGTGTGCAAGAAACAATGATGCCAGATCTATGCTGATTGGCAGGGCTACCCTAACACTAATATACTCACCAAGGGTGTCCATATCCAAGTGGAATTTACCACACCTCCAGGTCAAGAGCTCAATTATATTTATAATCCAAATTATTATTGAAAATTATATTTAAATATCCCTATTGAAGAGCGATTCAAATAATTTGGACCGTACAAGAAAAAACTATTGACACTAACTCGGTGACTTGACTTATGGCGAATTTGTCTATCTGGGGTGTTAATATACTCGCCAATGGCATACCCGCCAAATGGAATTTCCCATACCTCCAGGTCATCAGCTCAATTTTCTCGCATACTGTATTCTATTGTCCAAATTATTATTTTAAAATTATGTTGAAACATCCCTAGTGAAGACCGATTAGAATAATAATAATAATAATCTGTACAAAAAACTATTGGACTATTGTTTTGATGTTTCTAGGCGCATTTCCGACGGAAGTGCCTTGTTATTTGACAGGTCCATGTTTTTACATAGACCCCATCTTATATTTGGTATTATCATTTAAAATTCCTCGTTAATTGAAAATTTTTAATTTGTGGCATTCTTCTCTTTCCACAAACAATTTACAATTTAACACAAATTACTCAGGGTACGAATATTTAAAATAGTGCATGCCAAAAAATGGAAACTCACAGAGGAAATATTACAAGACATTTGACGAAAGTTAATAAAATCTAATAACATACACGAAAGTTTGGATAGGGAAAATCATAAAATTCATTCCAAACCGCAATCAAGATATTGAACATGCAATCTTAGTATTATTTACTTCTTGGCAATTTTGAAAATTAACGACTATAATATTTTTTCAAATCATCTTCTGTATTTGAAAATTAAACTTGGTTTTAATTATACGAGCTCTAACCCAAAAAAATATCATTATTTAGGTATGATCAAAAAATGAACAGTTCATTTATTCCCCTTTAAACAAATCCCCCTCAGATATACGCCCATGTGCTGCATTTCGAGTTTGCTGGAATGTGAAACATTTTCCCAAATTTGGTGTGCTCCATTCCGAATTCCCATAAAATATTGGGAATATAATTCGACCACATATAGCCTTGTGGATTGAAAACGAAATGAGGTCGTACGTGTTTTTCTGAGCACGTACAAGTTGAAAAATAACTCTGAAGTTATATTTAACGTCTTTTTGCAACATTTATTTAAAAAATACAGTATTTACATTAGTTTTTATAGTAAAATTAATGAAAATAAATAAAGTCACACACCTAACTGAGAAAGAAAAATTAGTTTTACGATTACCTACATTGTTTTCCTTACAACCATTGCATTCATACAGAAGTATCCTTTTCTATTGCAGTATAAAGATGAGTCTTCATGTGGTTGAACTATTCGGATGTGTGTTCCATCTACACAGCCTATAACTCATGGAAATCCGAAATTTTAATAAAAATGCAATTTGGATAACCTCATAGTATCTGGTGGAAACTATGGCAATTAATAAGCCAGCAGGCATTTTTTCTCAATTTTGTTGTTAAACAAATTGCAAATTCCACTGAAACATATGTTTTTTTATTAAACTCAGTTCGTAACATATTGAACACAGCTATGCTTTCAAGCCGCACTTTCGCTCGAAATTGAGCACACCATTTTGCGCAACATGGGAATTTAAAAAAGTATGGGAATTCAAAAACTCTCGGAACATGTCACATGGGCGATAATACACTTTTTTCGAAACCAATATACGAATACGAAACGAAACGGTGAAAATGTGAAAATAACATTTTTATCAATCCTAGTATATCTTTGCTGACTCTTTCTAACTTATTACATTATATTCAATTCAATTTCATTTTATATATTTCTTCAAATATTTCCATTCTGTAACTGACGACTTCAACTGATAATATTTTGTTTAATATTTTTTCTTGTATTAATTTCATGTAAAACAAAACCAACAACAAATTAAATTCATTCTCTCTGTAATCATCATCCTCATCATAAACGTCCTGACTAACCAACAAAAAACAACAACAACAATCTAAAAATATTAATATTAAATTAAATTAAAAATATTAAATTGAGCACACCATTTTGCGCAACATGGGAATTTAAAAAAGTATGGGAATTCAAAAACTCTCGGAACATGTCACATGGGCGATAATACACTTTTTTCGAAACCAATATACGAATACGAAACGAAACGGTGAAAATGTGAAAATAACATTTTTATCAATCCTAGTATATCTTTGCTGACTCTTTCTAACTTATTACATTATATTCAATTCAATTTCATTTTATATATTTCTTCAAATATTTCCATTCTGTAACTGACGACTTCAACTGATAATATTTTGTTTAATATTTTTTCTTGTATTAATTTCATGTAAAACAAAACCAACAACAAATTAAATTCATTCTCTCTGTAATCATCATCCTCATCATAAACGTCCTGACTAACCAACAAAAAACAACAACAACAATCTAAAAATATTAAAAAAAAACAAAGTCCTAACACACAACTCTTTGGTGCTACTTATCTGGGTGAAGAGAATAACAAGAAACGAATGCAACGCCAGCTAGAGGCTACACCAAATTTGGCATCACAAATAACACAAATCTCACCAGTTGGACGTTATGGTGCAAGGAGACCAACATGCAGCATGGCCGAGGTAATTAATTGTATTATATTTATATCTAAAATATGTATTTGTAATTTATTAATGTGACTAATTTGAATAATTAACAGAATAACGCTTATAACTTATGACAATATTCGGCTGAATATTGTAAATCTATAGTCTATAACATATTAAATGCGCTCTCAACTATTTGACGAGTATTTGTTGACTTTCTGCCCTCAAAATTCATCCAAGCATTTGCACTTTGTCAATTTACCTTGAACAGACCTACGTAGTTTGAAATGTTCGAAAATTGTTTTGAGTTTTCTTTCACAAACTAAAAATATATGTACACATATACAAAGAGATTATTTCAAAACTATTCCGCACAAATATTTATACAGATTTGAAAACAAATATTTTTTTTTATAATTTAACGGTTATCTTTTAATTGCGAGTGATATATTAGTAGTTCCAATTCAATTTGAAAAATATTAGTACAAAAAAATAGAACAAAACAAAAATGGATTCGAAACGACGTAATCAAACTCCAAGCACTTCCAGCATTACCCATCATCCTAAATCTGCCGAACATCAACGTGTAGCTTCAACAAAAAGTAAAATAAAAATTACGGTAAATATAATAACGAATTTAATTTGTGAATCGTTCGTTTAATTAAGAAATTATAATTTATATGTGGAAGAAAAATCCCAGTCAAGTTAGTCTGACACCCAGTCAAATTGCGGAACAAGAAAAGCTATTGGTAAGTATTTTTTTTCTAAAGAAGTTGGCAAAACAGTCGATACAATTTTTAAATGAAATTTGAAGATTTTCGACCTACAGAAAAAAACCTGCTATTGATGTTTGTATTATCACGATGGTTTATGTTAATCCGATCTATTTTGCAAACTTCCTTAAATGATCCTCATATTTAATTCTGCAATATATTTTTTATATACAGGAACGCAAAAATCCTTTGGATGCCTTGAGTAAAATGAATGTCCGCCAGACAATGTTAGAACGAAGATCGGTAATACGTTTTGACATTTAATATTTATTTATTATTAATTTGCATTTATTTCCAGGGATTGCAAGAAGTCGATGAGGAATATCTGAAGCAAAATGTTTTTCGAAAGGCACAATTTCAACGAAATTCGGTAAAACTAGTTTTATTACTATCCGTATAAACGTGAGGATTGGAGAATAGTTCACAATAAATTCAACAAATTTAGAAAAACGACAATATACTGCCAGAGTTTAGGAATCTTAAAGGATCTGAAGGTTCACATGTTATTTAAGATTTGGAAAAAATATAAGAAAAGACATTGAAGTTTTGCCTTCAAAGAAAGTAGCAGATTCGAAATAGATCGACAATATATACATTCTCAGAGCAGAATTATATTTCATATCATTCAAAAAAAAATGTAGGGTATTTGGTACACCTCACGTTCTAATTTTTTTTATCTCGATATCCTTTGCAGATAGAATGATTACAACAATGTCTTAGAACCCAATCTAAAACGCAGAACAAATCAGATAATTTTCGCCCCCTAAAATTACTAATTTTTTAATAAAAGGGAGAAATTTCGGGGGTACCTTTATATGGGGGTTACCCGAAAAAATGGGGCCATATATATTAAAATTGTTAATGGAGAGATTTGCTGCCCAATATATACGACAACAAAAAATCAAATTACAAAGAATTTGGTTGAAAAACGCGTTGAAGAACTCCAAAATATCGCAAATTGGAAGTAGCCTTATATGGGGGCTACGCGAAAAGATGGGCCTATATATTACAATTTTTAATGGAGATATATCCTACCCAATAAGAACTCGAAGTACTAAATTATAGCCAATTCGTTTATAAAACGCGCCCAAGAACCCCAAAATAACGAAAACTGGGGCTATCCGAAAAATGGACCTATAGTTATAAGTTTTAGTGCAGTAATTTGGTACCCAATAAGAATCCAATGTACAAAATTTCAGCGAATTCAGTTATAAAACGCGCCCAAGAACAAGAAGTACTAAATTATAGCCAATTCGGTCGAAAAATAAGATCAGAACCCCCAAAATACCGAAAACTGGGGGTACCCTTATATGTCCGAAAAAATTGAGTTTTATTTATAATTTTTAGTAGGGAGATTTGCTGCCCAATAAGAACTCAAAGTACTAAATGTCAGCGAATTCAGTTGGAAAAAGCGCCAAGAACCTCAAAACACCAACATATTGGGGGTACCCTTATATGGGAGCTATGCCTAAACGAGGACCGATATAGCATATCTTCGAACTTGACCTACCTGCAGACAAAAGACTATGCAACATTTTGGCGATCTATCTCAATTCGTTTAGACGCTGATTACAACAGGCAGACGGACATGCTTAAATCGTCACAGAATTTTACGCTGACCAAGACTATATATACGGAAAAACGAAACTTATATACCCTCCATATTATGGCGGAGGGTATAAAAAAGGCATCAGTATCAATCGAGATTACAACAGTCAGACGAACATGGCTAAATCGATATAGGTAAAATGTTATTCTGCGGTTTCATGTGAATATTTCTAGGTGTTATCAACTGATTGACCAATTTAATATACTCCGTAGTTGTTTTCAATAGTAAATCCCAAAATTATTTTTTAAAATAGAAACAATTCATGCTAGACTAATAATAGTTGTTTTTCATACATAGGGTTTAAATAATGAAAATAACACCCAAAATCATACCCTAACGTCAGCCGTCCATGCAGCTGGTCAACCATCAATTGTAAGTATTTGAATAGTGGGAAAATCTATATCATATTGGAAATCACTATTTAGATATTTCAATGTTTCCAAAAACTAAAAAGTAAATGAAAATTGAATTTGCAATTATTTTTTGCCATCTACATATCGTTTTCCTATAAATCTCAAGGTGAAAACAAAAGATTAATCAAAAAATAAAATATTACAAATAGAGTACAACATATTGTGATAGGTAAACGTTAGACTTGATATATTAAATGATTTTCTATTGTGTATAGCCACACAATGAAACACATTATTCAAATGTTGATCCAAATCAAGCAATTGGACATCCCCAGCAACAACAAATAAATCAACAGCCATCTGTTGTACCGAAAACAAGTTCAAGTTCCGGAGATAACCAAGTAAATTATTACATATAATTCCATTTACTAGAGTAATTGATTTTTATCCAATTTATTTTTTCAACATTTCCTTAAAAAAAACAAAAAAAGGCATCAGTACCAGGAAGTCAACAACAAGTGCCGTCGCAAATGATACCACAACAGGTAGTCGCAAATGCACAGCAGCATCATCAAAATCACCAACAACACTCAGGACATCATCAACAAACACCTATGGCAATGTCGTCGCCACCTTTAAACGTTGCATCCATGCCCGAACCTGAGATGTGTACCACTTGTCCTAATTGCCAGACAACAATATATCTGGTGCCAGCAGCAGCAGCAGCAGCTCAAACGACAAACCAAAACCAACACACAATTCATGAAGTACCAGCACCAACAAATGCACAGTCCGAGCCACAGGCTGCAAGGGGATCAAACTAAAATTGTCAGCAGAACACGGCATTGTTTAACTTCTTTCTATTTATATAAAAAAAAAACTAAATTGTTATTGTAATTGTTATTTCTCTTCTTATTTAAAAATTGTTGTTTTTATCAATGGATTTATTTTTTATTTGCGAAATTTATTTGATGAGATTCCATAACATTTATTTATATTTTAATTTTTATACATGTAAATGGAAAATAATTTGGAATCAATTGTCGTGAATGGTTATTAGTTGCTCCTACAAGGACATATCAATTATGGAGAGTGGAGGGTAAAAGTCCAAATCTAAATTTTTATTTTATAAATTTTAGTTTTGCCACTAGATTTATAGATTTAAGATATATAATAACATATATTTTAAAAAGGAAAATGTTTCTCAAATCTCAACAAGCGTAGATTTTTAAAATAATTTTTTTTCAAGGCACAAAAAGGCGTAGATTTTTAAAATAATTTATTTCTCAAGGTCTAAAAAGAACTAGATTTTTAAAATAATTTGTTTTCTCAAGGCCCAAAAAGGCGTATATTTTTAAAATAATGTTTTCCATTGCCCAAAAAAGGCGTAGATTTTTAAAATAATTTGTTTTCTCAAGGCCCAAAAAAGGCGTAGATTATTAAAATAATTTGTTTTCTCAAGGCCCAAAAAAGGCGTAGATTTTTAAAATAATTTGTTTTCTCAAAGCCCAACAAAGGCGTAGATTTTTAAAATAATTTGTTTTCTCAAGGCCCAAAAAGGCGTAGATTTTTAAAATAATTTGTTTTCTCAAGGCCCAAAAAAGGCGTAGATTTTTATAATAACTTTTTCTCAAGACCCAAAATAGGGTAGATTTTTTAAATTATTTTTTTTTCTCAACGCCTAAAAAAGCATCGATTTTTTAAGTAATCTTTTCTCATGGCCCAAAAAGACGTAGATTTTTAAAATAATTTTTTCTCAAGTCTGAGATTAAATAAACATTTTTTTATTAAATTACCATTTATTGTTTAAATATTTTTGGATCATTGCCAACAATTTGTCAGCATATCCTTTTATACTCTGATGTTAAGCATGATTTCTTTTTGCGTTAAGTAGATAAATTCCTTACGACTGACGAAAGGGTCCTTTACATTGGCTCAAAGCCAATGTCTTACTTTTTATGCAAAGCAGTTCAAATAGTTTTCACTTTCCTGCGGTTGTGTATGTGTGTGAGTGTAACCTAAATCTAGACACAATGTAGATATGTACTACTTTTTAGAATTTCATTTTCAATAGAATAATTAGGCGTATCACATATCCATTTGTATTAAAAAAATAATTTTCTTATTGATTTTCAAGCTCTATAAAAACAACATTCCGTAAAAGAGTTATTAAAGTTGCGCTTTAAAATTGCCTAAAATCAAAGTTTATAGTTGCGAATTTTTATAATTTAAAAACTGGCCTCGTATCGTATCAGAATTTCAATTGACAATATTTGAGGTGTGTATGTAAAAAACGTTTCTCTTCTCAAAAAAATGGTCAGCACTTTATTTTTTGACTCTATTGTCTGTTTTCCATGTCAGCCCAGTCAAGGGGGGATGGGGTCGTTTTTAGTATAACAAAAGAACAACAACACAAAATTGGCATATTGTTGCAAATATCACGAAGGATGAATGCAGCAGGAAACCTATTGTAATATGTTGTCTTATTTTATTCCACACAATGTTTTCTTTTTGCTTCCATAACTTGCCTCCTTTGCATAGCCTGTATTTCATATGGCGAAGACAAACTAAGCCAAGAAGACAAACATGTGCCAAAGAAGAAATTCAAGACAAAGGAGCTAAACAATTACACCACATGTGTGTTGAAAAGACTCAATTGCTTGGAAGGAGGCCATGCTAGAAATCCTTTTTTTCATTTCACATGACATTGTTTATGTTTTTGCGCTAGTGGTCGATAATGAGGTTTCTTTGTTGCTGGCCACTGTTGCAACAGCCTGTCGCTGCTTCTGCTGCGACTGTCACAATTTAAATGAAAGTGAAATTTTGTTTTGCCAGAAAAGAAAACATGTATTTTGCCTCGACTAATATCATATTCTGTTTTTTAGTCACATAGAATATTCCATTGGATATAGTCAAACATTTTGAATAAGTCTCATCAGTTTTATACGCTTTCTGTTTTCTTCTTACAGATAATTCACAGTGGAACGACACCAACTAAAGGCGCTGAATCGGGCAGGTAAATATCCAAGTTGCAATTATTAGAAATGCTTGCGCTTTAATCATTCCATCGTGCATTGCATTATTAACATGAAAATACTCTCAGTGTGATATACTAAGTTAATTTTATTTATTTATTGTCTTTGCTTTTTGTTTTTATTTCGACAAACCAATTTGGTTTTTTTTTCAAGAAAATTTTGGATTTTTTTTCAATTTTATTTTTATAGCCACGTGGCTAATTAAAAATTAAAGGAGGCCTTCGCCAAAGTCCTTTATTTCAGTTTACTTATTAAAATTTGGAACCAATTGGATTAACCTGACGTGTTTAGTAAACTCCAGTTAAAAAAAAACACATAGCTTCGAGAAAGATTTTAGAAGCAATCCTCGAATGGATCTACAATTTTGTGCGGCATTTTTGAGTGCTTACAGGACTTCCCAATAAGATATGTTATTGTGGTATTCAAAGAAAGGCGTAGATTTTTAAAATCATTTTTTCTCAATGCCCAAAAAGGCGTAGATTTTTATATACACGGGATAAAAAATAAAAATTTCTTAATAAGATTTGGAACCAATTGAATTAACCTGACGTGTTTAGAAACCTCCAGTTAAAAAAACACATAGTTTCGAGAAAGATTTTAAAAGCAATTCTCTGATGGATTTAAGTTTTTGTGGTATTCAAAGAAAAATTCAATTGTTAATTATCAGATGTTTTTCTCTATATAACAAAGAGACGAGCCTATATTGAAATACAATATCAGCGAAGTGTATCCACTACGAGCACGTTCCATGAACTTTTGCATAACCAAATCGAAAAATGGTCCCGATACCCTCCCGTTATTTATTAATTTATTACTTACTTACATAGCTGGCTTGTGACAGAACATTTGTTACATAAGCCAAGCTTAAGAAAGATTTCCAGGTGGGTCGATGTTGTACGTAGCACTTTCAATTTTCAAGACCATGCCCCGAGATGATGTCTTTTAAGGGCCCCATACACTATACATCATGCCGTACAGCATTTATAATAGTATGTGTTATTTTTTGAAAGTTTATTTATGTATGTGTGACACACACAATGCATGAAGAAAATCAAAATAGTTTTGATTTTGAAAATGAAACCCTATCAATCTGGTGAATAATATTCATTTTGAATGTTGTCAGTAAATAGTTTTGTGTACAAAAATAATAGAATTGTGACGGAATAAAAAAACAGCTGAATTTACGACTATGCAATTTTTGGGACAAACATCGATTTTTTGGAATAGTGATTGAAGAGTTTGCCATACACTAGTCAATCTCACATATACAAAAAGGGGTTCATCGGCATGACGGCATGATTTATAGTGTATGGGGCCCTTTACTTGATATTTCTATCGAATGCATGGCCTTACCCTTCTACGTGATCCATGAGTTGGCTTGCGTTCATGGCCTTACCCTTTAACGTGATCCAACAGTTGGCTCGCGTTTATATGCCTTTTGAGCTGGGACATACTCGTTGGAAGGCGATATTCATCGTCGACGCAAATCGCCCCATAGATCTTTTGGAGAATTTAGCTCTTAAGCACTCCAAGAGCTGCCTCATCTGCTTGCGCAAGTACCCATGATTCTGATCCATACAACCAGCACAGGTAGTATCAGTGTTTTGTAGAGTGTCAGTTTGATCTGGCGAGAGGTGGCCTTGTTTTTGAATTACATACTTAGTCCACAGTAGCATCTATTGGCCAATACTATTCTCCTCCGAATTTCAAAACCTGATGTCATTAGTTGTATTTATAGCGGTACTAAGGTATATCTAGTTCTCTTGCGCGATGATACTCTCTGCTTGGTATTTTCGCCATTTACTACCAGATCAACTTTGCCAAATTCCTTCTCAATTTGTTCAAAGGTGACTGTTTCCGCTCGCAATGTTCGACCCATTATGTCGATGTCATCGGCGTAGGCGGGTAACATTTGTTGTTTGGTGTACAAATTGTCATTTTTGTTCACTGCTAACCTTATGCCCAGGAATGCCGAACGCAGACATGGCTTTAAACACCTCTGAACGGATAGGTTTGTCCAATGCGGCTTTATTGTCGACGAATATATGGCATGTGTCGATATGTTTTTCGTGGGCTTTTTCCAGGATCTGACGCAGAGTGAAAATCTGGTCAATGGTAAATTTGCCAGACCTGAAGCGGCATTGAAGCCATTTACCATCACACAGTACGCTGGATAGCACTTCATTTACGATTGGAATAAGACTTATTCCCCTATATATTGCACACATCTTACTACAGTAGTACGTTTACATTGTACCGGATTTCGTTAACTCAGAGGGTTTAAATTGTCAATTCCATTGTATATATCAAATAAACCCTAATTAGGTAGGTTAGCGCCGAAAAAGTTTTAATGTAAATGCCGTTTTGTCTCTTTTTTTCTGCACGGGATACAGGATGCTGAGGTTCTAATCATGCATTCCTTCAGCGAAATTGTACTAATCAGCTGGGGCATGCTCCTGACCGGCATCTGATTACCGGTCTTGAAGAGTTCGGCTGATTTATTGTTCTTCAGCCGATTTATTGTTATTCTGACCTCGTCATGGCTAGGTGGTTTTAACTCTATAACGTTATCTCTTATTGGTTCTGAAATATCTTCTACACCACCATTATTTGATACCAGAATCTTTGCAAAATACTCCTTCCAAATCCTCAACAGGCTATCGGTATCTGTCAGGTTTCCAACTTCATCTCTACATGTGCCTGCGCCAAATCCTTTGGTTTGGTAATTTATTCGTTGGTAAAATTTCCGGACTTCATTCTGACTTCTGTGTTCTTTTCTCTCGATAATTCTCTCTTGCATTGCCTGTTGCTACTGTTTGCACGGTTGCCCTATACGCTGCATTTTTCAACCCCGTAGCATTACGACACTCCTGAACGTACCACAGGTTTCATGGTACCCAAGTATTGCTTTCGCTGCAGTTTGTAGGGAGTGGGCAATTCTCTGCCATAGAGCTTCTATATTATTATTGGGACAGGGAGTACTTTCGTCAAGCAGATGTGTTTGCAGCTTTTCGACGTCGAGTTTCCGTTTTGTGTTAGATCGCACCTTTGTTGCTACATTAAGACGAAGGCGAACTTGGGTGCTACAGTGTAGTTGTCCAAATCGATATTCGCTTCTCGGATCGATCGAACGTCTAAAACACTAGATGAATGCCTTCCATATATCACAACATGATCAATTTGATTTCTCGCTGTTTGTTCTGGAGGCATCCAAGTAGCCTTGTGTACATCGAGTTGGTGCTGAATCTAGTGCTGCTAATTACCATGTATTTTGCTGCCGCGAAGTCAATCAACCTCATTTATTAATTTATAATAATTAATAAATAACACTGTGAAAACATTTTTTGGTAGTAGTGAAAAAGCCCCATAAAACCCCAGATGGTAAATTCGCCAAAGGTCAAGCTTTAGAGATATGGCTTAATACATTTCTTGCTGGCATGACAGGTTATTTAAAAATTTTTCTCAATTACCAATATTTTCAAATCAAATTGGTTACTAATTTCTATAGATTAATTTGTTCGTTTTATTTTGTTTCATTATTTTTATTTCATTGCATTATTTTTATTACATAATTTTTATTTTATTTCATTTTTTATTTATTATTTCATTTCAGAATATCATAATTTTTATTGCGGATTTCATTGTACAAACTCACCTTTGGTAGCTGATTTTCTTTTTTGTTTTCTTTAATTTTATTCTTTACTACTTTATTTTAAAATTTTAGTTTCATTTTTATAAAACAAAATAATAAAAACAAATACTTTCTTATAATATATATATATTTTATAGTTAGAAAGTTTCTAAAATTTAATATATAACTAAAATATGATAACATAGAAACAAACTAACATTTGTTACTCTTTTCTTTATAAATAGTAAAAAAATATGTATTTTATTTTTTTATGTTGAGAAATGCATTTAAAGAAATAAAAATGGCAGCACATTTAATATTTAGTTTAGTTTGTTTTTAAAATGTTTAAATTTCATGTGATTTTTTATATATTTTCTGTTGTTTAATGTATAATTTTAAGTTTTCTATTTTTTAACTATTTGTTTTGTTTTTAATAAATTTTAATTTTTGCCAGCGCCTTTTTTACGAAAAAAAAATACATTTCTTTATATTAATTTAATAAACAAAACACACACACAAAAAGACCATTCATCATCAAAATGAATTTTTATTTTTTAATAATGAGCTAAGCAAGCAATGGATTTTTTTTTAGATATTAGGTATTTTATAATAAATTGAAATTACCATGTGAAGGCAAATTGCAGGAGGGGAATAAAACGAATCCCACTGTTATATCTTCTTAAATTTGCCGGTTTTTAGTATAACAAATATTGAACATGTTTTATTTATTCGAAGTTTACGGCGAGAGAATTCTAGGCCAACGTTTTGCAGTAGCTCAAACCGATTTTGCCAATAAAGTAGCCAATGGGCGGTTTAGCAGATCCCTCAATCGGTAGATTGGACCACTGTGAACTTCCTCGGGCAAGCTCATTCTATCTCACTCCTCGCTATAGCAAACACAAGGCTTACGTTTAGCCTTTTTCATTTCACTATTGTACCTATTGAATTGTTCTCTATAAACGTCCCAATTTGTATTATGTTTCGTTTTACTAGATTTATTATATGCTTTCCTAGCAGCCTTTCTCAATGCCTTTCTGTTTTCCTCTATAAGCTTTCTGTTTTCCTCCAGACGTAGGAATCTGAAAAAATATCTTCTTATGATCCCCAGAGTTGTCCATATTTGTACCGGCTGAGATATCTTACCAGTGTATCTCAAAGGACAAGAAGCCTTATAGATTCTCAACAGAGTATCTGTGACATTATTCACAGCTTTCTTAACATCCTCATTCGTCCAAATGCTAAATTGCAGCCTTTTCGGTTGGGCAATGAGCCTAAAACCTTCAAACTACACATAATTGGTCAGTAACGGTAGCTATACCAAAACGTGAACCGATATACTCCACACTAACA